TGCCTCGTCTCCGAGGCATGGCGGCCCGTCTCCTTGTCTCTGGTCTTCCCCGGTCCCTCCCTCCCCTTCCCCAGGGGCCTGCCCCTGCCTGCGTCCCCTGCGTTGAGGGGCGCCAGCGTGCTGCCCCTCACTCCTCCCAGTTTCCTCCGACAGAGGCCCCACTGCAGACGCTTCACATGGACGTGTGGGGCCCAGCCCGCGTCCGTGGACAGGGTCACGAGCGCTACTTCCTGCTGGTGGTTGATGACTACTCGCGTTACACCACAGTCTTCCCCTTGCGCAGCAAGGGTGATGTCACTGAGGTGCTGATCGACTGGATCCACGCAGCTCGTCTCCAGCTAAGGCAGAGCTTCGGCTCGGACTTTCCTGTTCTGCGTCTGCACTCTGACAGAGGCGAAGAGTTCTCCTCTGGCCTCCTGCGAGCCTACTGTCATGCACGAGGCATTCGCCAGACCTTCACGCTTCCGGACTCTCCACAGCAAAATGGGATTGCTGAGCGCCGCATTGGCATGGTCATGGACGTCGCTCGTACGTCCATGATGCATACAGCTGCCCCCCATTTTCTGTGGCCGTTTGCGGTTTGGTACGCGGCGCATCAGATCAACCTTCAGCCCAGGGTCTCCTTGCCAGAGATCTCCCCAGCCTTGCTCTGGACGGGGAAGGTTGGCAATGCGTCTGCGTTCCGTGTCTGGGATCTCGGGCGTTTGTCCGCGACTTGTCTGCGGACAAGCTGTCCCCTCGTGCTGCTCCTTGCATCTTCCTGGGGTTCCCCCCTGACGTGCCTGGGTGGCAGTTCTACCACCCCACCTCTCGCCGTGTTCTGTCCTCCCAGGACGTCACGTTTGATGAGACGGTCCCCTACTACCGCCTCTTCCCCTACCGCACTCCGTCCCTTCCCCCGCCACCGCTCTTCCTTGTGCCAGGTCCCCCCCCGGTAGACCCCCTCCCCCCTCAGGGTCCTGCCCCTTCAGGTGTGTCCCAGGTAGACGCAGTCGAGCGTGTCGAGGTTGCTGGTGACTCTGGTGCTGCTGAGGGTGCTGAGCCTGAGGGTACAGCTAATGGGGGTGTTGAGCCTGAGGGTGCTGCGACTAGGGGTGTTGAGCCTGGGGTTGCTACGCCTGGGGGTGCTGAGCCTGGGGGTGCTGAGCCTGGGGGTGCTGCTACTGGGGGTGCGGAGCCTGGGGGTGCTGAGCCTGGGGGTGCTGCTACTGCGGGTACGGAGCCTGCGGGAGCTGGGCCTGCTCATGTCGCCTCTGGCGGTGCTCCGCCTGGAGGTTCTCCGGGTGCTTCGTCTCAGCGGGAGCCACTCTCTCCACAGGAGCTGCGCGAGTGGTTTGCCCGACGCTGGAGGCGTACTGCTGGAGCTGGAGGTTCTTCGGCTGCTGAGGGTGCTGGTGTCGCGGGTCCCGGAGGTGCTCGTACTGGGAGTACTGGAGCTGCTGGGCCTGCGAGTACGACTGGAGCTAGAGCTACTGAGGGTGTTGGCACCGAGGCTACTGCTGGCGGTTCTGCTGGGGGTGCTGCTGGAGGTCGTGGAGCTACTGGAGTTGCTGCGGGTACTGGAGCTGGAGGTGCTGCTAGAACTGGAGCTCCTGCTGGGGGTACTGGTGCTGTCCCTGCTGTGTTTGGAGTCGCCGCGCAGCCTCGGCCGTACTTCGTTCCGCTCCTTCAGCAGGTTCTTGGTCTTCCGCCTTCTACTGGTCCTTCTCCTCCCTTAGAATGTCCACAGCCTGTCCCGTCGCAGTCATAGTTACAGCCGGCCTCCCCTTTGCCTGCTCCTTCTCCCTACACTGGTCCTACTGGGGGTCTTGCTGAGCGTCGTGAGCCTGCGTCTCGCCCTGCGTCGCTTGTCTGTGCTGCTCGCACTAGTGGTCGTGGTTCGCGTCAGCGTCCTCCTCCTGTCCCTGGCACGCACCGGATGTCTCTGCGTCCGTCCACTGCTCCTCTGCGTGCCCCTTTGCCTTCTCCTCCTGAGTCCTCTCTTCCTGCTCTTGCGGACCCGGAGTCGGACTCTCTTCGTGCTGCCAGTCCTTCTGTCACGTGTCTCCTTGCTACTGCCGTCACTGACCCTTCCTTTGAGTCCACTACTGCGTCTGCCCTCGTTGCTGAGCTCGTCGACTTTGCTGCTCGCTGTCGCCTAGACTACGCTGCTAGTCTCGTCGCTAAGTCTGAGTCTGTCTGTCCTCCGTCCGTCAGGGGTGAGTGTGCCCTTGGCACGGACGACCTTAAGGACAGGCAGGAGGAGTTCCAGTGTCTGGTTGCTGCTTCACCTCATCTCGTGTCTGTACTGCTTACCCCTGAGGGAGACCCGGATGCACTTGACATCCCGACTCCGCGCTCTTACGCGGAGGCGATAGAGGGTCCCTACTCCTCTCAGTGGCAGGCAGCTATGGACACAGAGATGGCTTCCTGGAAGTCCACAGGCACCTACGTTGATGAGGTTCCCCCGCCTGGGGCGAACATTGTCAGAGGCATGTGGATTTTCAGGGTTAAGCGACCGCCAGGTTCTCCGCCTGTCTTCAAGGCACGTTACGTGGCTCGTGGCTTCAGTCGGCGGCAGGGAGTTGACTACTTTCAGACCTTCTCTCCCACCCCGAAGATGGCCACTCTTTGGGTACTGCTGCACGTTGCTGCTCACCGTGACTACGAGCTGCACTCTCTTGACTTCAGCACAGCTTTCTTGCAGGGCAGCCTGCACGAGGAGATCTGGCTACGTCGCCCACCTGGCTTCACTGGGTCGTTCCCTCCTGGTACCTAGTGGAGCCTCCGGCGGCTAGTCTACGGTCTCCGCCAGGCACCGCGTGAGTGGCACTACACACTGAGGACTACGCTTGCGGCTCTTGGGTTTGCTCCCTCTACTGCTGACCTGCGCACCGACACTTCTTTGCCGCCGTTCTACGTCCTCGTGTACGTCGACGACTTGGTATTTACCACAGCTGACACTGCTGGACTCGCCCACGTGAAGTCCGAGCTGCAGAAGAGACACACGTGCACAGACCTGGGTGAACTGCGCAGCTATCTTGGCTTGCACCCGGTTCAGAGCACGCCGCACCATTACCATGACCCAGTCACACATGGTGCAGCAGGTCCTTCAGCGTTTCGGCTTCACGTACTCCTCGCCTCAGGCCACTCCTCTGCCTACTCGCCACTCGCTCTCAGCTCTGCCTTCGGATGAGTCCGTAGAGCCGAGTGGCCTGTACCCAGAGCTTGTTGGCTGCCTCATGTACCTGATGACCTGCACACGACCTGACCTTGCATACCCTCTTAGCATTCTCGCACGCTATGTTGCTCCTGGGAGACACAGACCGGAGCACATGGCTGCAGCGAAGAGGGTGTTGCGCTACTTGTGCAGTACGTCAGGCATGGGGCTAGTGCTTGGAGGGCGGAGTCTAGTGGTCCTCACTGGGCACGGAGACGCTTCTTGGGCTGACGACCAGGCTACGCAGTGGTCGTCACAGGGTTACACCTTCAGCCTTGGTTCCGGCTCTGTTTCGTGGCGGGCTACTCGCTCGTCTTCTGTTCTCGGCTCCAGTTGTGAGCTCAGATCTACGCAGGGGCCATGGCTGCACAGGAGCTTTGCTGGCTCACTTACCTGCTGACTGACCTCGGAGAGCCGCCTCGTTCTCCTCCAGTTCTGTACGTAGACAACAAGGCCATGTTGGCCTTGTGTCGAGAGCAGAGACTGGAGCACAGAACAAAACACATTGCTCTCCGCTACTTCCTTGCTCGTGAGCTACAGCAGCGTGGTCAGTTGCGGCTTGCGTACGTGGCCTCTGAGGCCAACACTGCTGATGTCTTCACAAAGGCACTTGCGCCTTGTGATCATCAGCGCTTCTGTACTCAGCTGGGTCTTGTCCCTGTCTTGCCTCACTTGCTCACCTCTTGACCTTGCTTGTACTGTTACATATAAATATACCTCCTCTTACTTGTCTAGCCTTATATATATATGTACTCCTGCATGTGAACTGGCCTTGTGGCCTTGAACTTGTGCTTGAAATGTGTGGTGACTTTGTGATCCACCCTGAGCTTGCTTTGCTTTGCTTTGCTTGACTGGTCTTGTGACCCCTTGTTCTCCCCCATTTTTCCTGTAGGGGTGTGTCAGAACATAATAGCTTATACATTTTTGTAGGCTGTAGTGGGGTAGCCCATAAGGGGTACAACCCAATTAGGGTTAGTACTTGTACCCAACTCTTTCATAGTTCATTCATTCTCGTTCTAAGTTTCACAGTATGAAGCTGAGGTAGGCAGCGGGAGGAGAGTAGAGGGGCGACGGCATACCATGGCATGCGCTGACTGAGTGAGACTGGCGCGGGGGAACGGACAGGGACAGGGACAGGGGCGCCATTAGCGAATCCACGCGACTGTCAGGGCAGCCGCGACTGTCGACTACTCCTGTCAGCGACAGCGTGCACCCTGTCGACTGCCCAGCGCTGTCGGGGCCAATGTCGACAGGGTGCACGGTGTCGACAGTCGCGGCTGTCGCTGCCCTGTGAGCGAAGGTGGATTCGCGGCTGACCGAGTGACTGCATTGGCCCCGACAGCGTGCTCCCTGTCGACTGCCTAGCGCTGCCTGCCTGCCTCACTACTGCCTTCGCTACCCTGCTCCTCCCCCACCCACCCCCCTGTCCCCCCCCCGATCCCCCCCAAATACATTCCGCGCCCTCCTCTCCTCTCCGGCCCTGCCTTGTTCCGCCAGCGTCACCGCCGTCACCCCTCATCACCGCACCTCGCTCCTTTTGCGCCCTTCGCACCTGCTCCGCCGCGAAAGCAATCTCCCTTGCTGACCCCGCGCAGCTTCCGCCTGCTTCCCTGCGCCTGCCCCTGGCTTTGCCGCATCATCTGCATCATTTGCCGTACCCCTGCGAGCGCTGAGAACTGGTAGCAAAGGGGAGCGATGACAGAAGCTGCATCTGTGCCCCTCTCGCGGCTTCTGCATGACAGGTGCTGCCAGGGAAAACACAAGCGTCGTAGGGGTTGAAAATCGGTAACGATGAGAAGGGCTAATGGGAATAATGGGAATACTGGGAGGTGATGAGAGGGACCGCCCCTATCGCCACCTCTGTATGGTCTGACTGAAACCGTCGCCAGGTGCTGCCAGAAACGCACATGAGGGGAGAGGCGAAGAGGTGGAAAGGGGCAGACGAGTGCGGTAGTTTTGGAAGGGGGAGATTGCATGGGCTAGCAGGTGCTGCCGCATTAAGAGAAATGGGGGCAACAGTGTGGGAGCGATGGGGGGGCGATGGGGGAGCAATGGGGGAGTGTTGGGGGAGTGATGGGGGAGTGATGGGGGAGTGATGGGGGACCGACTGGGAGAATGGATGGGGGGAACGGGATGGGGGGAACGGGATGGGAGCAATCGGATGTGTGGCATGGGATGGGATGGTAAGCCCGACAGCACGCACCTCCCTTATGCGGTGTGCAGCAGCAGAGCCACGAGCCCCGTACGACCTCGCTTGCGCCCTGTACCAGCCGCTTGAAACGGCGTCCCCGCCTCCACGGAGCAGCGAGCCATCAGTGCTTGCAGCAGTATCTTGTTCACCTTCTTATCAATGCTCGCCTCCCCACCACCGCCCTCTCCGCCTCACTCTACGCTGATTTCAATACCTCTTCGCGCCTCTTCGTCCTCAATTCTAGCCTTCCTTTGCTGTCGCCCTCTCTCTCGCATTCGCCTCTTCCTCTCCCACTCTCCTCCACCCTTATTCTCTCATTCTGTTCCTCTCTTCCTTCCTCACCCTCTTCCTCTCTCATCCTGATTCGTACTACCTGTCTCCTCCTCTCGTAATCTCTCACTCTCTTCCTCTCATCCTCCCTCAGCCTCTCACACTCTTCCTCTCTCTTCCTATCGTCTCTCACCCTCCTCACTTCTTCTCTCACTTTCCCCCTTTCTTCATACCTCACCCTCCTCTCTTCCTCTCTCACTCTCTCCCTCTCTTCTTCTCTCTTTCTCTTCTCCACCTGCCCAAGCCTCTCCGCCAGTCTCGTCGTCAAGCCAACCTCCACGGCGAGCAGCACGCACCATCGGCTCACACCCATCATCTGCTCCAATGACAGCTCCTCCGCGCTCCCCGCTCCGCCGCCCATCATGCCGTTCACGCGCATGGCCACGTCGACCTGCCGCCTCCGCGCATGCATTCCGCCTCCGCCGTACTCCCTCGTTTTCCCACCCCCCACCTCTGCGCTTTCCCAGTTCTCCGCAGTCGCACCCTTCTCAGCACAGCATCTGCGCTTTCCACGCTGCGCCTCACCGCGCAAATCGCCGCAAAGATTCCAGCCGTTCATCCTCTCTCATATGTTCTTTGCTGATGCCCTGGGGCAAAAGGAAATGTAATTTCTGCTTTACGTCCCCCGAATTAGCTGCTTCTATTCCACCTTGTTCCCACCAGAGCCGTGCCAGGGCCAGAAAGGTGCGACCCTGAAATGTGGCTCTGAGATTCGATCTTAATGCGACAGGTGTGCCGCAGCGGCGAGGAATGAAGTAGGATTGAAGATCTGAGGCGCGCCAAACGAAACAACAAAATACTTGCTGATCGAAAGAAACGGGTTGCATAAGAGAAAGGGAAGCCAGGGCGGGAAGTGATAGGGCTGAGTGGTGTAGGGCGTAATGTTGAACAAGAATGGATGAACTAACAGTGAAATGAGTACAAGTAGGAAACCCTAGAATTGTGTACCCCCTATAGGCTAACCCACCGTAGCCTAAACAACTACAACATATATATAATGTTTGACACACCCCCATAGGCGAAGTGGGGGAGAACTAGGGGTCACAAGACCAGTCAAGTAAAGCAAAGCAAAGCAAGCTCAGGGTGGATCACAAAGTCACCACACATTCCGAGCACAAGTTCAAGGCCACAAGGCCAGGCCACATGCAGGAGTACATATATATATAAGGCTAGACAAGCAAGAGCAGCAATATATATATGTAACAGTACAAAGAGGGTCAAGAGGAGAGCAAGTGAGGCAAGACAGGCACAAGACCCAGCTGTGTACAGAAGCGCTGATGATCACAAGGCGGAAGTGCCTTGGTGAATGTCAACGGGAGTTGGGTATTGGCCCCATCCTCGCTTGGGCGGAGCAGACTTCGTGGTCGGGTGTGAGGGAAGCAGCCGACCTGCAGCAGTGGGTGAGCTGGTCGACGAGGAGGCCGACCTGCACGGGCGCCGACCTCAGGGTGGCGCCGACTTCAGGGAGGTCGACTTGGGAGTCGACCTGCAGAGGACGTCAACTTGGTGAAGCCGACTTCGGCGGTCGGCTAACGGACTGCTGGTCGACCTGTTAGTGGTCGACTGGACCTGGTGGTCGACGAAGGAGGGGCCGACGTCGACCTTGACGCAGGACGCCGAGCAATTGGGCGTCGAGTAGTGGGGCGTCAACTTCGTGACGCTAGCTTTGGGTGGCCGACGTGGGTGGTCGGCCGACGACTGTGCTGGTCCACTAGGAGCAGGACGACCAGGAGTACTGGTCGACGTGGAGCTGGTCGACCAGAGGGGACGTCGACCTGGAGGAGGTCGACCGATGGTCTCGTCGACCTGGTGAGGTCGACGTGGAGGTGGTCGTCGACTTGGGAGGTCGACGGGCACGACCGGGAGCTGCTGGTCGACGTGGTTGCCTGGTCGACCAGGTTACCTGGGTGACGAAGTGCTGCGGAGGAGTGCGACGGTCGCCCAGGCGAAGTTGGCGAGCCCGACCTCGGTGGTGGTATCCCGAGGTCGTCGTGGTGGATCAGAGGCAGTCGTCAGCTCGAGGTTGACGTGGTGTGTGCGCTGTGCAGGTGACGAGACTCTGCATGCCAATCATCTGCGCACAACTGCGAAGCAGGGTGCACTGCTGTCCTGCGTGAGCAACGCTGTCACGCCGTCAACCTGCGATGTTGGCACGCCGTCGACCTTGCCTTGCTGGAGCGCGGTCGACCAAGTCGTGCTGGAACGCGGTCGACCAAGCTGCGCTGGCAGTTGGCCGACCTGAATGCTTGCTCTGATGTAGTCTTGCTATGCCAACTTCCTTGTATCATTGTTGTCATGTTTTCCTAGTAAAACTCTTGCAAATTCTCCCCGTGAACTAGCAAGGAGTGTGAACACAAGGAAACGACTAAGTGAACGAACGCGGAGATCACACGAGCACACGTGCCTAGCCCGTAGCCTAGCTCCCGTTGCTGCAGTTATCTCCGCATGGTGCGGTGAGCGTGGACGACAGCGTGACGTAGTTCAGTCTAGCCGACTTAGCACATACCGATCGTGTTCGTAGACCGGCAGCCGTGCAATCACTAGCGTGCGCATAGGCGACGCCGAGGTGATGGACACCCTGGAGGGACGGCTGGAGGATGCGAGGAGACGCCATGAGGCCCAGGAGTATGGGGCGATACCCTGGGCAGTCGTCGAGGCCGGACTCTGCTCCGTGTGGGTGGCGGAGCACCCCCCTTCTCGACCTGCCTCTCCTCGACCGGTGAACAACGACGGCGGCGTCAATGTGGGCGTCAACGCCGGTGGAGGTCAGGTCGGCAGCAGTGTGGGAGGCACGTCGAGGCAACGAGGTGTGATACACGCCGGTGAAGCCGGCGGCGTTCAGGCGCGAGGGATGTAGTGGTCGGCGGCTGCAGACTCCTCACATGGTGACGTCGGAGGACGACGAAGCGGATTGTCGCCGATGACAGCGTCCCAGGTGACGGCAGGTGGGATTGCACCGAGCTACGGCTACTTCAAGTTTACGCCGGACAGGATCTCGGTCACCCCTCCGCTGGTCGGTCGACCTGACATACTCACCTGGAAGGAAGCCATCGAGCCCCAGCTGGAGATGGCCGGGCTAATCGGCTTCGCCCGAGGGACCGTGGCGACACCGGGGGAGCACCACCTTGACCTGCGTGCGGAGTTTCGCGCCGTGCAGCTGTTGACCTTCACGGTCATCTCGCGGTGCTGCTCGCCGGGCGTGCAGATCACCTTGAAGTGGTGCCGGGAGTACATCGACGCCGGCCACCGGGCGTGGCACTTCATTGAGTCGACGTACCAGGTCACTGACGACCTGTTCATCACCCAGCTGGAGGGACAGCTGACGCACCTGCGTATGGGTGACGAGGAGACAGCGACCGACTACTGCAACCGGGCACGGCGAATTCTCGCCACCATCAGGATGGCCGGCGCGTAGTACTCCACGGCGTCGTACATCACCCATGTCATGCAGGGACTCTCTAGCAGCTACAACCTGCTGAAGCGGCTGTCCATGGCGCCGAGCACGAGGGCGACGCTCAACGAGGACAACCTGACCTCATATATCCTGCAGGACGAGGCGATGCAGGAGGCTGAGCGATCGCAGGAGCTCTTGGCGCAGGCGAACTCGGTTACCTCAGCGAAGCAAGGAGGCCGACCGGGGCAACGCGGGCAGTCTGGCGGTGGTGGTAGCAGTTGCTGGAAGCCGGCCAAGGAGGTCGACAAGAAGAAGTCGACCAAAGATAGCGGTCGGGGAGGAGGAGGTCGACGTCGGGAGTGCTGGCTGTGCGGCGACCCCGACCATCTCTCCTTCGAGTGTCCCAACCGCAGTGACTCCGACGATGACGACGCTAAGGGAGGCCGCGTGAGGTCAGGCAGCCGTCGTCCCCGTCGTGACGGAAACCAGCCGCGCAAGGAGAAGCAGTCGACCAAGACATCGACTTCGGCGAAGGATGCCGACTCCGCTGTAGGCGGCAAGGGGCGAGACGACAAGACGGCGTCGTGCTCACTGGTCGGCATCGTGGAGCCGACCATCTCTCTGGCACCGGAGGCTGGAGAAGACTTCCAGGCGGTGGCGGCAGCTGTGCAGGCGAACCTAGCGGTGGTCCTGCTCGACAGCGGTTGCTCCCACCACCTGATGGGGACGAAGGAAGCCTTCGTCGACTTGCAGCCGAGCGGCGCCATCAGGCATGTGCGCGGCTTCAATGGGGCGCTGCAGGATGTCCAGGGCCGCAGCACCGTCGCTCTGCAAGGAGAGGCCGGGAAGGAGGTGCTCATCCCCGACGTGTTGTACGTCCCGGGTGTGGGAGCCAACCTGCTGTCAGCCGGCCAGCTGAAGGAGCATGGCGTGAAGCTGCAGGAGGACGGAGACGGCATGCTGCTCGTCTCGCCAGCAGGGGAGGTGCTCGGGCGGGCGACATACTCTGGGCGAGTCCTCTGCACCGACCTGCGTCCCTGCGCGACGAGGTCGAAGCCGCCCACGACGGAGGTTGTGGCTCTGCGGGCGATCGTCTCGAAGACGAAGTCGACACTGGACCGGATGCATGCGCGGCTTGCACATGTCGGCATGGACACCATACGGAGCTCGGCAAAGAACGAGGTCGCCATTGGGCTGGACCTCAAGTCGGCGACTGAAGCCAACTCCCCGTGTGTCTTGTGCGTTGGCGGGAAACTGGCGCGGCACACCTTCCCCGACCACGGCTCCGACGCCGACGACGTGCTAGCCGTCGTGCACATCGACCTGTGCGGGCCGTTTCGCATGGCTGCCAAGGATGGCAGCCTGTACTTCTTGCTGCTGAAGGACCGCAAGACCCGCTTCGTGTGGGTGAAGCCGGTCGCCACGAAGTCAGATGCGTTGCAAGTGTTCGTGCAGTGGCTGGCAGTGGCTGAACGGCAGACGAAGAAGTCGGTGTTGATGCTGCGCTCAGACCGGGGAGGGGAGTTCCTCGGGAAGCAGTTCACCGACTTCGTGAACGAAAAGGGGATCGTCCACAACCTGACCTGCCCATACACCCCGCAGCAGAACGGCATGGCGGAACGGGAGATGAGGACGGTGGTGGAGTCGGTGCGGACAATGCTGCTGCACATGGGTGTGCAGCACCACTGGTGGCACCTCGCTCTGCGGCAGGCCGTCTGGGTCCGCAACTGCCTTGAGAGGTCGACGCTGCCGCCGGGGACAACGCCGTACCAGCTGCTGACCGGGAAGAAGCCCGACTTGTCGCTGGCGCGGGTGTGGGGCTGCATGGCGCAGTTCCTTGACCCTGAGCAGCAGCGTGGTGGGAAGCTGAAGCCGAAGGCCAGGTGGGGCCTGCACCTTGGCGTGTCCGCGGCGAGCAAGGGCTGGGAGCTCCTCGACGTCGACACCGACCGACTGGTCACCACGTCGGACGTGGTGTTCTACGAGGAGATGTCGCTGGCCGAGTGGAAGACAGAGCATGGGCCGGTGTCCGGCCGCTTGTCGTCCACTCCGCCCTATGACACCTCGTTGGCGACGCTGCCGCTGCTTGCCGAGGTCGGTGAGCTTGCTACTAAGGACGTCGAGGACATCCGCTCCCCTACTCCTGCCCCTCCAACTCCTACCCC